CGATTGGTTGCACAAGCCCTAACCAGGGCTCGGACTAGGGAGGAGCCTGCACCCAAGGTACATACCCTCCACCGGAATCAAACCTGAGAACCTTTGGTTCACAGGCTGACGCTCTATTATTTCTTAGAGGCCCAATGCATGTAATTCATGCAAGAGTAGGCCTTCCTTCCCCCAGCTGCTGGCACCAGCTTCCTTCTGACACCCAGGACCTGGGCTTCCCTCCAGCCACAGACCCCCTCTTTATTATTTATTTATTTGTTTGTTTTTTAACTCTTAATCCATTCATTGATTTTTGGGAAGAGTAGAAGAGACAGGGAAAGCTCCTCTCCCCTCCCCTCTGAGGTTTGAGCATCTGATCAATGCTTCTCAGTTTCTGGATCTGTTTTAGTTCATCAGTTTATGTGTTCATTATGATCCACAAATGAGTGAGATCATGTGGTATTTATCTTGCTCTGAATGGCTTATTTTGCTTAGCATAATGCTCTCCAGGTCCATCCATGCTGTTGCAAATGGTAGGAGATCCTTCCTTTTTACCCGGGCTTCCTTCGCAGCCCCAGGTTTGTCTGGAAGGATGTCCAGAAGGATGCCCAGTCTAATTAGCATATTATGCTTTTATTATTGTAGATATTCATTGTTGTTTAATAATTAACAATCTTCATGATAAGATTTCTAAAAACCGAATACATTCTTTAATAAGTTTAAAGCTAATTATTCTTTTTGTATAAGTTTTTTCCCCAGGCACAGGTTAATGTTTAACAGCTGCTGGGAAATTAATTTTACTAGAAAAAATTATAACTAAGTAGGCTATGTTGAATGTTTTTCCCTTTCAGATAATAAACTAAAATATACTTTCAAATGTATTTTGACTCATGTATGTAAGCAGTGTGAGCAATTGCTTTTGACTAGGGCAAAATACCAAGTCAGTCAAATGTGGTTGTGTGGAGGGAGACAATGTTAATCAGCTTAACAATAACCCACAACCGTCGGACCAACTGCAAGTAGTGGTAGGTCTCTGAGTATTTATAGTCCTAACTCAGATTGTCTTTACAGTTAGAAGAGTTTTCATGTCGTAAATCGCAACCATAATAAATATGATGTGTACTTCTTTCCTATTGATAGAATGTAACTATAACAAAATCGCTGTTTTTAAAGCAGTCTTTGTAAGAATGATGTGAACAACTAACCTCTTTCTGGCATGCCATTTTAGAAATGCATTGTGGGTAGTGCATAGCTAAATAGGGAAGTGAAAGGGGCGGGTTTCTGGCAGCCGCGACTGGGTGAGGACGGCCGGCGGGTCAACTGGGAACCACGCCCTGGCGAACCAGGCGGGAGCGGCTCCAGGACCCGGCAAACCCAGTGACGCGCTGGACTCCCGCCCCAAAGCCGCCGGTCCCTGCCGTCCTGGTCAGTGTCAGGCGCACGTGGCCGAGTGAGGCCGCCGGCCCGGAGAGAAAAGGAGCCTTCCTTGTCCCTCTCCCGGCGCTGCTGGCAGGGACCATTTTCTCTCTTCGTTTCATCACTGCGAGCCCCTTCCTCGGAAATCCCCCTACACCCACTTCTCTCCTGGGTCGGGAATGAGAGGGAGCCCGCGGGAGGCAACAGGTGGCTCCAGCAAGAATTCCCCTTTCCCGCTGCGAAGTGTAGACACCACGGGACCCCGCCAGCGCGCTAGGAAAGAAGTATTCAGCAGTTAAAGTCACCCATGAGTTGCTCTTTTTTTTTTTTCAACCCTCGGCAGGGAAAACCCATTTCTTTAAAGGCCTGCGGAAATGAAACCATTAGTGACATTTGAAACTTTAAATCTAAGAACAAACTGAGAGATCCTTACTTCAATATTTTAACACAGAAAACACTGCCAACAAAATGTGAAGTTATTTCCCTTACGGGGTTTCTGGTTGAGGACCTGAGGATGTGAGACCGAACCTTGGTTTTATATATCGGACAGGAATTATGCCCCCAAAACGAAAATATGAAATATACATAATAAATAAACCTTTCGGAATAATGTAATGAGCTAAATTTTTTCTAAGGATAGTTTTGCTTTTTATATTTTTATGTTGTTTTAAAAATTATTTTATTTTTTTTCCATCACCATTTATCTCCTCCATGCCTTCTTCCACCTCCTCTCATCCTCCACCTCCCTGCCTCCCCTCTTTTTTTTTTATTCAAAAAAATTCTTTTTGGGAAAGTTTGATAGATTTCCTGCACTTACTCAAACAGAAGCTCTTATTTAATATTTTTTAAGGTTTTTCAAGTAACGTACTGTTCTTTCTTCCTGTAAAGACAAAACCAGGAAAAAGGCCCGAACTGACTTCCTAATTACCTATTGTGATTAGTGAGAAAAACTTTGGAAATTGGGAATATTGAGGCTGGGTCGAGAATTTCAGAAAAATAGAGAAAGCCTCAAATTTAATAAAAGATATTTAATAATTGCCCTAGAGAAAATGGTGGCACAAAAAGCTTAGAGATTTCTAAAGTCTAAGCTAGTTGACTCAGGGATTTAAAAAACATATATTTAAGAAGGGCAATATATTAAGAAAGATGTTAGGAATGATGTCAAATGCTGTATTTTAGAGGTAGATAATTGCTCTAGTGACAACCTTGGGGATTTTGTCTTTTGACTAAGATGGGAATTTATATAGTAGTAATCATTGTAGTTTGTATAATAATTTATGCTTTTCTTTACATTACCTCATTTATATTACATTGCTGGTGTCTCTATCTTTAGTAGTTGGTAGGACACATCAGCTTTTTCCCCCCCTTCGTAGCGCTCATTGGACTTGGAGGGAATCAGGATCTGCTACCCCAAAATATGCCACTTTGGCATAAAATTATTTTGAGCTGAAGCAATTGAGAATCAACAAATGAACAAAAAAAACACACAAAAAAACCGTTTTTTGGAGTTTCCCTCCTCTGACCAAAAGCAGCAGCTTCTGGGAAATAAGGCTGCCATAAATTCCCTCTCTGGGTGGGTGTACTCATAAATGCCCTCTCTGGGGAAGTTTTATGGCTCTGAAGAAAGCAGGAAAGTCCACTCAAACCTGTAGAGACAAACATGATCACAAGCTTTCTTATCTCTGTTCTGAACATTCCATCTGTCTTTCCTAAAGAAACCCATTTGTTCCTCCGGCCTTGGCCTTATCTCTCCCTTCCCCTTCCCTCCTGAGTTAGGTATATCTGCTCCATGTCCCTTTGAATATTCCAGCATGTATAAGCTTTCCATACATAATAAGCTTTGCTTTTTTTCTCCTTACCACTCTGTCTTTTGTTATCTTATTTCACAGGCCCCCAGGCACTGACCTGGAGAGGGTAGAGGAACATATTTTTTTTTCATCCTTACTGACCTAAAGAAATTAACATGAAATACCAGAACAAGTACTGGTCATGGAGGTTAAGGGGGG